AGCAAACTCGATGTTATTCCAAAATATTTACAAATATAAAGGTATTTTTAACAAAAAACATGAATATTTATATTAACGAGCAAACTTGAAAAAACATACAAAATGAGTGTTCCTCCAAAACTTTCTTTCGTTTACGATCAAAATCTCTTTTTGAAAGGATATATTCATGTTGAATTTAATGATAAATCTTATGTTATGTGTTTATTTGATGGAACATGGATTAAAAAACATCACTTGCAAATCATGCAAAGTTGAAAAATGAAAACAGTCAATTGAAATTAATAAATGAAAAGAAAAAGAAGAAGCAATGAAAATTATTCAATGTTTTTCAAATCAGATTATACAAGTGATTATAAAGCAAATCCAAAAACATTACCAGATTATACTTCATTTTTTTTCCAAAAAGGATATTGTAACAAAGTTTTTTAATTATATGAGTATAAGAGGAAAAAGAACAAACATTGCTATGATAGAATCAGCAAAAAATGAATTTACACAATTATCAGGTTTAAATCAAGTTCAAAGAAATTCCGACCAAAAAGAAGTCTGTGTTGACAATGTTATCAATGACCATAATATCCACTGTTTTAGTTGCAACAATGATGAAGATTTAGAACCTGAAACCACTGTTATAACATCGGCGTTTACGGTTGTTCCTGATGAACCAGAAGATTTTCCAATCCCAACTATCAAAAAACAAACACATAAAAAGGCACAAAATCTTTCTGCTGCCGAGTTTGATGATGGACTATTTAGAAAAACAAGTTTATTACCAGCAACTACTTGGCCTTGGTATAAATTAATATCGGCTATTAAATTGTTTACTTTCCCACCCGGTGTAAATCGATTTAATAGAAAGCGTTTTTCGGAATGTATAGATGTGTTGTTTGATTATTACTTGCATTCGAAATATTGTACAAAGTATGAAAGAGACGCGTTTGAATTGTTCCAAAAAAGAATTGTAGCATTTGAGATCACTTGTATAAATATTGAAGCTAGGTTATCCGAGTCACAAGTTAATGCAGTTAGTGATGATTTATTTGTCTTTCTTAAAGTTTACAATCCAAGTCTGTTAGACAAAATCAATTACCTCGGCATCAGTAGCCGTAATTCATTCAGAGTAGCAACAGATTTTAATGTGTTGGCAAAATCCGCATTTCTATGTGAAATCATAGACTGCGACTGTATGGCTTTATCGGGTGATAGCTCGAGCAAAAATGACGAAGAAAAAATATGTGATATTAGTAAGAATGTGTAAAGGAAGAACATTCAAAACCTTTCCTTTGGTAACACAAATAAAATGTGGTGGTTCTTCTGCTCAAGAAATTGCAGATTGGCTCTTTTCGGAATTGAATCTACTCATTTCAAATTTTCCATTTGAAAGAATTGTAAATAGTTGTTGGGATGGTGCACTGAATGTTCAAAATTCGATACAATTTTTCAATGATATATTAACAGCTTATAAAGCAGCACCAACAGATTTGGTCAGTTGGTTTAACAGCTCCAATTGGTGTTTTGCACATTTAACTGCACTTGTTGGTGTTAGTATGATGAAAAGTGCAGAGGGTGAATTAATTGTATTATTCACTAAGTTTTGCTGCCAAAAGAACAACCGTTTGGCTTTAGAAAAATCAAAGAGGATAGCGCGT